ATATTAGAATAATTTCTAAAGGATCATGTGACATTAAAGACTGGAGTAATGATGCTGAAAATTCAGCTTTGCCATCATAGGAATAAATTACCATTTAAAATATTTTTAATATAAATATTTATTTTTTATTTATACAGTTTATAAATATAAATATTATGTTTTAATGTTTTTGTATTTTTTATTTTATTTTTATTTATTATTTTTATTTTTATTTTTTTTATACAATCTGTTTTAGCCCCTTTACCCCTTTTAATAATAATTTTGCCTTTTTTATTTATTACAGAGTCAAAACAAACCCCAAGTTATACATGAAAAACTGAACCAAATGAGTAGTGGATGTTTGGACAGCAATCATAAATTAAACAAAGAACATGTGAATGTGGATAAACAGGAAAGTAATGACAACATTAGGACTGGTTTTGCCAGGTGCAAAACCTGATGTCAGAACCAGTTTGCAGACCTTACAAAGGAAATGCTTTTTGAGTGAGGTAAACAACGCTACTTTCGGTGGACACTGAGAGACAATGAGAAGCACTCAGAAGACTTTAGATTTAAACTCAACTGAACTTCATTGTATGCTACAAACTTCCTTATTGCATGATCAGTTTTTCTTTTGTCATTTGAATGAATGAAAACCTCTATGGCCAGGAGCTCATATTTCTCAGGCTTGCTGAGTGGAGAGTTTGTTTTGAGTGTAGCTCTGGTGATCAGCATGCTTTTATATGCATTTCCTCCTCAGGGGTTTCACAATGGTCTCACTTTAATGGATTCCAGCAACATTTTAACCCAAGTAAACCAGTAAAAGCCGCAGACCTCATTAAATATTGTCAGTGATGTATGTGTTTCATCCTCAATAGACAAACATAAACAAAAGCGTTTGGTGAATCAGCTCGCTCGCATGTTTCACAAGAGCCTGAGGAGGTTGCGTTCACAAATTAATTTCCTGTCACACAGAATCATTGCTGTATTTACCCTCCAGCTCTTTCTGCTCCTCAGTGATTTGATGATAGCAAAGTAAAATGAGCTTTTAGATACTAATGATACATAATGAAACTGATATTCATAGACACTTAAAAAAAGATACACTACTAACGTACACCACCGTTCAAATCATTCAATATATACACTGCCGTTCAAAAGTTTAGGATCAGTAAGATGCTTAATGTTTTTTAATGGAGTCTCTTATGCTCATCAAGGCTGTATTTGATCAAAAATACAGAAAAACAGTAATATTGAATTTTCATCAGCCATTACTCCAGTCTTCAGTGTCACATGATCCTTCAGAAATCATTATAATATGCTGATTTATTATCAGTATTGAAACTCGTTTGGAACTTGTTTGGATTTTTTTTGGAACCTGTGATACTTTTTTCTTTGATTCTTTGAATAAAAAGTTAAAAAGAATAGCATTTATTCAAAATAGAATTATTTTCTAACAATAAAAGTCTTTACTATCACTTTTTATCCATTTAACAGGTCCTTGCGGAATAAAAGTCTTAATTTCTTGAAAACCTGATGTCAGAACCAGTTTGCAGACCTTAAAGGAAATGCTTTTTGAGTGAGGTAAACAACGCTACTTTCGGTGGACACTGAGAGACAATGAGAAGCACTCAGAAGACTTTAGATTTAAACTCAACTGAACTTCATTGTATGCTACAAACTTCCTTATTGCATGATCAGTTTTTCTTTTGTCATTTGAATGAATGAAAACCTCTATGGCCAGGAGCTCATATTTCTCAGGCTTGCTGAGTGGAGAGTTTGTTTTGAGTGTAGCTCTGGTGATCAGCATGCTTTTATATGCATTTCCTCCTCAGGGGTTTCACAATGGTCTCACTTTAATGGATTCCAGCAACATTTTAACCCAAGTAAACCAGTAAAAGCCGCAGACCTCATTAAATATTGTCAGTGATGTATGTGTTTCATCCTCAATAGACAAACATAAACAAAAGCGTTTGGTGAATCAGCTCGCTCGCATGTTTCACAAGAGCCTGAGGAGGTTGCGTTCACAAATTAATTTCCTGTCACACAGAATCATTGCTGTATTTACCCTCCAGCTCTTTCTGCTCCTCAGTGATTTGATGATAGCAAAGTAAAATGAGCTTTTAGATACTAATGATACATAATGAAACTGATATTCATAGACACTTAAAAAAAGATACACTACTAACGTACACCACCGTTCAAATCATTCAATATATACACTGCCGTTCAAAAGTTTAGGATCAGTAAGATGCTTCATGTTTTTTAATGGAGTCTCTTATGCTCATCAAGGCTGTATTTGATCAAAAATACAGAAAAACAGTAATATTGAATTTTCATCAGCCATTACTCCAGTCTTCAGTGTCACATGATCCTTCAGAAATCATTATAATATGCTGATTTATTATCAGTATTGAAACTCGTTTGGAACTTGTTTGGATTTTTTTTGGAACCTGTGATACTTTTTTCTTTGATTCTTTGAATAAAAAGTTCAAGATAACAGCATTTATTCAAAATACAAATCTTTTCTAACAATATAAATCTTTGCTATCACTTCTTAACAATTTAACACATCCT